TTTATTCTACCTTCACCTTGGATCAGTAGTGGGCTGTTTACATTCTGACTGGGAGAGAAATATTTCAAATGGTAAGGGTTTGGACCACTATTGTGTAGCTTCCATATTTGCTGTTGAGCTCCCTTGAAGTGTTCTGTTTTGCCTCTCTTGGGGGCTTTTAGATCTTATTTTCATCGCTTTATTTCACAAGTGTGTGCCTCATGTGGTTCTCTCATCATTGTTATCCTTGGTACTTGGTGGGCCCTTGCATTATGAAGATTCATGTTCTTCAGTTCCAAGAAAGTTTCTTGAATTATTTCTTTTGTTATTTCTCCCACTTCACTTTTTTATGTCCTCTTTCTGGAGCTGCTTATAGTTCAGTATTGGACTTTCTGGTTTGATTTTATAATTTTATCTTTTCTTTCTCTGTTCTCCCCCCACCCCCCATTTTATGGAAGACTGTTTTAACATTGTATTCTACTCTTTGTTAGTCTTTAATTTATTTATCCTATATTTAATTTCCGGTGTTATTTTTGTAGTTCTTTGTTCTTATTAGATACAATCGTTGTCTTATCTCACCCTCCAACATCCGTACTATATAAATTCTACCTGTTCTTCAAGGTCCAGCTTAAAGTTTAACTTTTATGAGAACTTACAGCACAGTCCAGCTCTCTGCATTGGTCAGGAATTCAATGTTGTCACTACAATCTGTGCCATCTAGTGTATCAGAAGTTAACACAGACAATCCAGTTAAAAATTGTGAATAGAAGAGTTGGAATATAATTCAAGATAATCCCTCAAAATAAGACCAAGAAAGAAAATGAAAGACAAAAGGAAAAAAAAGATAAAATTAGAGGATCAAACCAGATGGTCTTAATATCAGATTAAAAGATGCTCCAGAAAAAGAAAATGGGGGGAGGAAATTATTTAAAAAAAAAATAAAATGAAGTTTTTTAGTAAAAAAAAAATCATTCTTAGTTTAAAAGTTTACTTTTTCTTTATCAGGCACAGTGCCCTGTATAGAGTTGGAAATAAAATAAGTGTTAAGCAGTCCTTGTTGTTTTGAATTAAATGACAAGCCATCCTAATGCTGCCCAGACAGGCTACCCCATGGGGATTCTCTTTTTTTTTCTCTTTTTTCCCCACTTAATTGTTGTTTAATTAATTTACTTTTCCTTTTTTAATTGGTGTATTATAGTTGTACATAAACATGGAATTCACTGTGATATGCTCATGCAATGCTGATGCATGCATATGACTTGGTTTGGTTAAATTGTTCTGCTGCTCCTCCTCTTTCCCATTCCTGCTCCTACTCCCCATCCCCTTCTCTACTCCACTGTTCTCCCTTCTATTTTCATGAAATCCTTCCCTTTTCTATTTCTCTGTAGCTTCCACATGTAAGAGGAAACATTAAACCCTTGACTGAATCTGGCTTGTTTCACTTAGCATGATGATCTCCATTTCCATCTATTTAACTACAAATGACATAATTTCATTCTTCTTTATGACTAAGTAGAACTCCACTGTGTATATACACCACATTTTCTCTATCCATTCCTCTGTTGACGGGCACCCTGGCTAGTTCCATAACTTGGCTTGTGAATTGGGCTGCTATTGATATTGGTATGCATGTGTCACTGTAATATGTTGATTTTAATTCTTTTGGATAAATAACAAGGAGTGGGATGGCTAGGTCATATAGTGGGTCCATTTCTAGTCTTTTGAGGAATCTCCACACTGCTTTCCAGAGTGGTTGTACTAATTTGTAGTCCCACCAGCAATGTACAAGTGTGACTTTTACCCACATCCTTGCCAAGACTTATCATTAATGGTATCTCAATGACCGCCATTCTGACTGGAGTATGGTTCTGATTTGCATTTCTCTGATTGCTGGGGACCCAACAGCACTTCTGTAGAGTACCAAGAGCATCAGTATGTCAGCTACAGGGGCGCAGGACTTACAGACCTCTGCAGACCTTCCTACCCCACCAAGATTCTCTACATGACATAGTCGCAGTATTTCAATGCCTGTTTTCTTTGTCTTCCTCAAAGCTATCAACTTAGATTTCATAGTAAAAGCTCTTCCTTTCTCATTCATATTTCTTTGGTTCATGAAATATTAAATTGAACAATGCAGCTTAAATACCAAGAACAATTGGCACGTGCAGGACTATAAACAAACATGTCTGAATATAGTCTGGCCTCTGACCCAGTTATAGGACCAGAGGGGCTTGGCAGAGAACAGCCTGGCAGCCTCTGGCCTCCAGCTGGCCCAGAACATCACTGAGTGCGAAGAGCAAAGGACATTCAGCTGTGCAGTCGGCTGAGTGGCAGTCTTTCGGGACAGCACTGACGGCACTCTAGTCTTTGCATAGCAACAGACGGCCCTGGCAGAAGTTGATCTGAGCTCATCACCTCTCCTGGGTCCCCTTGCAGTCAAGGGCATGCACAGGATAGCCAGCTGACACCCCTTAGTGCTCAGTCTCCGTGACCCAGAAGGGGCCAGGCATCTTGGTCTGGATTGAAAAAAGATCCCCAAGCTGAACCTGTCACTCCCTGGCCGGAGTCCTCATGGATCCAACAGAACCATGCCAGGCCCAGAAGTCTTGTGCCCTCCACTCCAGGATAGGACACCCACTGTTCTCCTGGCTGGGACAGTCAGCACTGAACCATGTCTGTGCCTGCCTCCTCTTTCCCCTGCCTCCAACCACCAGGCTCTGCAGGAGTCAGATGCAGATTCTCGGACAGGAAGTAAGCTGTCCTACAGGTCTGGAGGGCCCCTGTGTAATATGAATTAATTTTTATAGGAGCGAATGAGATGGACCTGGAAATCCTATTCACAGTTTTCCTTACAAAGGGGAACCTCGAAATAGAGCTGACACTGGTTGTCATTAGGCAGGAAAGAGTACTTATGCTCCTGGGTCCTACCCAAGGGATTGGCATCACTTAACAGCCACCATAATCACAGGCATGAAGGAAGCTATCCTACCTGGTCCCTCTCCCTTGGAAGCAAAGACTTCTCTGCAAATAAGGGCTTGAGAAAACCCCACAGATATCGCAGCTGAGGTGCTGCAGGAGAGCTTCACAGCAGACAGGAATGCAGGTCCATCGGCCAGAGGGCCGCTGCACAGACACACGCCAGATGGAAGCCACTCTCTGAACTGGCTTCTTGATGGACTTAGTGACCACAACCGTTCTTCCTGGTACTGACTGGTTGAGATCAGCACAGCAAGGGTGGCAGAACTGCGGCAGGTTCCACACACAGGGCCCAGGCCCTCTCCTCGTTCCCTAATGAGTTTTCTATTTCTCCTGTGGATATCTCATGGTGATGTATGAACAAAATTTTTCACTTTGGATTGATAGTAAGAACAAATTTTAAATGTCAGCAAATACTTTGACTCTTAAGTTTCCTCTTTGAACACTGGATTGTAATAAGAGGCCAAGGCTGGACCATTCTTATCTTAGTTTGTTTGGTTTTCTCCATTAGTTGCTGTTCTTTTGCTCTTGTGCACGTTCAGGGAGGCTGAGTCTGTTTGGGCTGGCTGTGCCCAGCTGGCCTCCACCACTCACCCTGGCTGGGTGCACTGTGGCTGTGAGCCTGCATGCGCCTCTCCAAGGGGCCACATGTCCTCACTCATCCATCTGCCCTCAGGCCCCACCGGAGTGAGGCTCTGTGCTCCTGACAGCTGGGAATCAGGCAGTCCCCTGAGACCAAGTTCTGAAGGCTCTCCTCATGTGTGACCCCGGAGCTCCCACTGCCTCCTTCTGCATGTGGAGCATTGGCTCAACTTTTCTTAAACACGTTTCCAAATGCCAGCGATCCCTTCTGGAGAATCTGCAGTGGCCTTGAAAGCCTCCTTCTACCGGTGTGGCTTCCCCTCAGGCACTGACCTGGAAGTGCTTGCTCCTCCTGGTTCCACACGGTGGATTAAGCACTCTAAATGTGGCCTCATGGAGAAAATACGCAGGTAGTAATCCCTCTTCATATCACAGCCAGAATGCCTTCCTGCGCCTGGGAAGTGACAACCTGCCTGACTAAATGACATTTCCAGGGACTAATGTTCACAACATCCATCTTCTTTCACAGCCCCCCAAAATAAGTTCTTGTAGCTCCTTCTCTTACTCAAAGGTGACCCCTCAGTCACTCAACACGTGCCTTGTCCACGGAGCAGCTGTGCCAGGGCAGTGGGAAGGGTTCCCCGGAGACCAAAGAAAATACCCCATGGGGGCTCATGAGGCCCATGCTCCCTGAGAAATACACAGGGAAGGTCCAATGGTGACTGCTGAACAGATGGCACTTCTGTCCCTCACTGCTGCACCAAGCAGGGCCTCTTCCCCCTGTGACATTCTGTTCAGTGGCAACCAGCTGGAGGAGTGACCCACACCCTTCCACAGTGCTTCAGCTCCACATCCATCCCTTTGACAGAGGGGTTTCACACATCAGATCCAGAAGCTGTGACATCATCAGCAGGAGCTTGCTTAGGGTCTTGTCTGATCAGCACCCCAGGGAGCAACTGTCCTGGTGCAGGTGACAGCAGCTTGCCTGATTCCCAGCGTGCAGGGGGAGCCTTGTCCTTCAAGACAGCACATGTGGACCTTCAGGCCCAGTGCCTCTCTAAGGTTGTTCCCTGAGCTAGGTTTTGAGGAATAAGGAGGGGGCACTCAGAGCAGGGTGTTGTCTGCCCCCTTTTCTCCAAGGATGGTACACCATGGAATTGGGCCTCCAGGTGAGAAAATCCTGACATCCCTTCTATGTAGAACCATCCTTTCCAAATGTCATCTGGATGGAAGGAATCTTCTATGACATCAGGCTACTGCACCACGTTTTCCTCAACAGAATAAAGCTATAGATGCAAGAGCTGTAATGGAAAGATTTATTAAAAATGATACTAAATTAAAAGACCTTGCCCCTTGCCATATTTTCTAAAAACAGAGAGAAAAGAAAAACTGAGTATAGGGAAAACAAATGGTCTGCCTCAACCCAGGACTGTAATAACACTGCCTCTCTTTCCTTGTTTTAGGGAATGCTGTCGATTTTTTGGAGACAATGGCTTGACTTTGAAGGTGTTTTTTACCAAGGCAGCCCCTTTTGGTGTTCTTTGGACACTCACAAACTACCTGTACTTACATGCAATAAAGAAAATAAACACTACGGATGTGTCGGTGTTGTTCTGCTGCAACAAAGCTTTTGTGTTCTTGCTCTCATGGATCGTTCTCAGGGACAGGTTCATGGGAGTGAGGGTAAGTTCCTTATTATCTGTCTTCCCCCTCACTCAGTCATGTCAGCCAAACCTGCCCATTGGCTTGCTTACTCCATGTGCTGGACCATGATCATTAGCTGCTGACCACCGTCCTTCCGATTTGTAGCAGAACAGGAGCCTGGCAGGGCTGGTTCATGGTGTGCCTTGCAAACCTTCTTGCTTGCAAACCATACTAGATGAGCTTCCATTAAAGCACCTTTCATTTCAAAGCATTCCCTAAAGTATGTGCCAGCCCAAGGCCCAGCCTGGGAACAGCAATGTGCTCTGCTCTCTGTGTGTTCACCTGCCCCTCCATGGTGGCTTTCCAGGCTGCAGCACATGGCATGGTGACTTGTGTCGTGTAGCCTGGAGCATCCTACCAACATCATCACTCTCTGGTTAGGATGCATCTGAAACCCAGAGTACTCTTGAGTGCCCATGAGTGTGAGCATCCTTGACCTTGCTTGGCCCATGTGTCTGCACCCCAAATGAGCAAGACACACTTGTGTGAAGCCCAACCAGAGGGTGATTTCACTTCCTTTGTGCCACAGGTGAAGGGCAAGGAAAATCACTAGCCCTGGATTGCCTCGCATTGCATTCAAAGCCAGTCAGAGTGCACAATGGCTGTATGAAGCATGACAAATGTGCTAGCAAATGCCAACTGAAACCCAGAGCAACCTGCCCCAATAAAAGGAGCGGGTGACATTTCGCCTGGACAGAATCCTAATCGTTTCTGCCTGCTCCCTCTGGTGGCTAGGAGCTGCTACTGCCCATCATCAGCTTGTCACAAACCAGACAGCTTTGGCCCTGTTGCTAGTGCTCCCCCAGTTAGAGCGCATCCCTCCTGCCTCCTACCTCCAAGCCAAGAGCCAGTTTGATGGGCAGCCCCACTAGAGTGAGCCATGCTGGCAACCAGTGGGGGCAGACTCTAGGCCTCCACCTCTGTCCTTGCCTCATGGTCCTGGGAACAGAGACATCACCCTGTGGTGGGTTCACACCCACCTAAGTTACTCAAACAGCAGCAGGGACATGAGTCAACTGCTCGGTTGTATTTTTAGCTTTTAGTAGGGGGAGAATTTGTTTTGAGGCTTCGGGTTAATTTTGGAATAAAAACTCACTCCCTGGGCTACCACCCAGAAAAGCCTTCAACAAATAAATGATCTAATACATCTCGGCAAGAACTGCAGGTGCTTCCCGCAGTAACTCACCCCAAGGCCTTTGGACTTGACACTGAAGACTCAGATGCCCTTCATGACTTTATTGTGATGCAAAGAGCCAAGGTGATTCATGGGACTCTTTGGCATAATTCAGATGTCCTAAGCAAATACCCAATGAGACCACCTCACTGGGAAGAGAAGCTTGGAGATGAATTCTGAAGTTGGCAGAAGAAAACAACCTTTCTGAGGTTAAGGAAAGGAGGTGCAGAAGAGCCCGAGCTGCTCCCAGCCTCACAGAGAGCAGTGGGCACTGGCAGCCCTTTCCATTATATTGCTCTTCCTGGGTGGGGGCTCCCCAGCATGCCTGCACTATGCTACATTCTGGCCTGGTGGCTACTTGAGCACTTGGGTCTGTGTTGACTGCTGCAAACCACAATTGTGTCCTGCAGGCCTTCAGCTCTAGGCTGGCACAAACATGCAGGCCCACAGGGTCAGGCATCGATGTTGGGACCTTGTAACTTGCCAACACAGTGCAGGTCTCAGTCTCCTCTTAGAAGTCTAGGGCCAGTCACCAAACAGCCTCCCGCTTCAGGTTTCAGAGCATTCTCACCTGTCCTCCTTAACAGCCCAGGAAGCTGGCCACATCTGCAAGATGGAAGTTTGGCCCCAATAAACACATGGTGATGTTGGTTCAAGATGATGTCTAAGTGGTGCCCAGTGTCTCAGAGTTCGCTCAGACTTCTGGGTTAGCTAGCACCTTCCATGGGGAAAATTCCAAAGACAGAAGGGAGCTGAGCTGGCCCCCATTGCAAGGGCTGAGCATCGAGCTTGAGAGCCAGCTGCACTGGCACGAGAGACATAGCTGAGGCCCAGCCTCGTGGGGGAGTCAGGTATGCAGGAGACTGTGACGGACAGCTGCTCGGTTATCAAGGCTGCCACTGCAGGAGAGCACCAGTGGGTGGAGGCCATGCAAACAGATGGGCCTCATAATGCTGGAGACCCTGGCCACTTATGACACCAGAAGACCAGAAGCTGCGGAGGTGTCTGTATGAGCAGTTGGCCTCGTGTGCTTCTGGGCTCTGGTGGAGGTGTGCTTTTCACATGTGACCTAGGCCAGAGGTTCTCATGTAGTAGTGAAGTGCTCTGGCTAGAGTCATATATGGCTGCGGGGCGTGCCTCCTCTCTTATATGCTGTTGGACCTCAAGGTGGTTACTAAACATCTCTGAGCCTTAGATGACCTGGTTTTTAAAGTCAGCAGAATATAACCCTAATAGAACAGTTGTGAGAATAAAATAAGGCAGCATAAGTATGGCTCATAAAACTCAGTAAATGCTTTCTCAATGTTGTTCTTAGTCCCTCTCAGGTAGAAGAGGTGGGTGGATCTGCCCAATTCTCTGGCCAGTGCCAGAAGGTGGAGAACCCTTAGGGAGTTTTGTGTGGAAAGAGATTGGGCCAAGAGGTCCTCTACGGAGGCCCTGAGCCTGTAGCACCTTCTTTCCATGATCAGTTCCCATCTCAATCAGATTCCAGCTGGCATTTTCAATCCAGATGTGCTAAGTACTTCACAAAGGGCCGTCCTGGATGCTAACTCCAGCATCTGATCCTGACTCCCTTGTGTGTGTGTGTGTGGGGGGTCTGTCCCCTGCGCCCTGAGCCCAGAGTGGGAGGACTCAGAGGGCAGGGAGCAGGGGTAGACAGAGGGTCACTCAGCTGCCCCCAAACACTGATGGTTTTTGAGTCAGAACACTCCTGGAGCGAGGAGAGCCAATGCTGGGAAAGTGCATTTAAAAATTAGTCTTCTTTCCCTTTTACAAAAGTGCCCCAAACTAAAAAGTTTCCAGATGGCTTCTGCTTGGCATGGAGCATGCAGCCTACCACAACTGCAGCCAGCCCAGCGGCTGCCCTGGCTTAAAAAGTGTGGTACCAGTTACCCTCAGCTCCTCTTTGAGGCTGGCGGTTCCCTCGATTCCCTCCAGCCCAAGTCCCAGAACTCAGATCCCTGCCCTAGCGACGGGACCCACCCTGGGAAGGCACCCTGAGGACAGACATCTGGCCTGCGCTTCCTCCCGTCTCCAGCTATCATGCCCAGATGAAGTAGGGGGGTGGCCCTGGCCTGCCTGGCTGGGCACCGCTACTGCCTGTCAGTTTAGGACAGTTCAGTGGGGAGTGTTGTGGGGGCAGGGTACAGGAAGGAAGGAAGACATGAGGAGCCTTATCTGTACACAGACAGCACCCTGGGTGAGTGTGCACAGGTGCTTGGGACCTCAGGGAAATGTTTCCATCAGAGAACAGATACTTTAGGTATTAGGTGCACACCCGCACTCTGCCAAGGGACTCCAGGCCAGAGGGAGACGCAGGCTCCCACCTCGGCTCTGTCCTGAGAGATGCTGCGAGCACTTGGCTGAAGACTCCCCTACAGAGGGCTACTGAGGCCCAGATAGTGGGAGTCCGTAGGCCCATGTCTTGTGGCTGGGACCACCAGGAGGTCACTGTCCCCAGTGCTGCCTATCAGAGTAAACCCTCAGGGCTCGGGGACCACTCTGGTGTCTGTTCCTCTTCTGACTAAAGCAGGGTGGCCACCTCATTCTCACTTCTGAGCCCTCCAGCCCTGGCTCAGGCCCTCTGCTCTGACCCACCTGGGGAAAAGCTTTAGCTATTTATCACTTAATCAGCAAAGAAGAGAAGGCATGAGGCTTCAGAAAAGGTTTCCCCTGCTCTCCTTCACCCCCACACTTCTGCTGCAGGTTGGGGAGACCCAGCCTTCGTGGAGACACTCCAGATGGCACAAAACCTGGCCGCTCTTCCCTCCAGATCTTCCTTCTTTTCTGAATTCTTGCTGGTACCTCTGATGCCCAGCCAGGAGGAACTGTCCCAGCAGTATCTTCTCTCTGCGTGTGTCCTGGGGGCAGAGCCCACCCCAGTGCCTGTCTGCTTTTCCACCTGTCCCTTTCTTGTTCTCCAACTGATCACTTATTGTTTTGCTCTCTCTGCTTCTTTCTCTCTTTGGATAGTTATCCCCAAGCCATGTAGCATTTGAATATGAAATATAGTGAATTTAAATGGTGCAGAACAAAGCAGCCGACTACCAGTGAACTAAGCCAGAAAGAACAAGGGCTGAGCTCCTCCGGGATCTGATAGTCACCAGCTGCCTAGGGCCCATGTTTTATGGACAAAATAGAATTACATGAAAAAACTGCATGAAGTTTGCAGCAGAAGTGTGTGACTCAGATATGCTGTGAGACTCAACCACCACCTTCCACTGACCTAAGAATTGTCTTTCGGCCACAAAGGAAGCCTCAATTCAAAGCTGAGAGCAGCTGGCAGTAGCTGCTGCCATGCCAATCACACAGTCCCGTTGTTGAGCAGCAGCTGTGCCTGAGCACCACCTATGCAACTTTGGGCAGGTTACATGGCCTCTCTGCACCTAGGTTTTCATGACTACAAAAGGAGACGAAAGATGCTATCTACCTGCCATGAGGGTAAGGTGAGGAAAGACATAGGAAACCCTTACTGGTGTAAACCCTAGCCACGTGACATTGCTTTGGACAGCTCAAGGCAGTTTTGAAGCATCTGTTAGAGGGACAGAACTCTTGGCAAATCCAGTGGTTAAGCCCCTGTTTCCTAGAACAGCCATTGGTCTTCCAGCAGCACTGTGTCCATCTCCAGAGAGCTCCCCGCAATCCCAGAGGTCTGTGTCTTGACAGGAGCACAGAGAGGAGCTGGGGGCGGGGCACCACTAAGGAGGAGCTGCGCCTACAGCCTAGGACCTAGGTGGTGCCCCCTCGGGCCCTGTTGCTGGCGTGTAGAGTGGGAACAAGACCCACTGACCCCACTGTGCCTTCCCTGCTGAGTATGAAAACACAAAAAGCAAGGTCACATGAGGCATTCGAGAAGGTGGGAGAGAACTTGGAGTGCTTCCAGGTGACACTCCAGATTGTCTCCTGGGCCTTGTTATGACCAAATAACTTGTCACCAGAATTAGGATCACTAGGTCTCCAAGAATTGCAGTGACGGCCATAGCCTGAAGCTAAGCCACGTGGCCACTCCTGGTTGCCCCATCTCAGGTCCTCTGGCCGGGCTGACCTTTGCCAAGTGCCCCTCCAAGCAGAGCCAGTTCTGTTGAGCAGCCTCCACCTGCTGCTCCCTGGAGGCCCGAGGTGGGGACAGCCTCCTTCCCTCTGGCCCAAACCCAGCAGACTTTCTAGCTCACTGGCCCTCGCCTGGTCCCCCTCCTGTCCTGACCACTGTTTTCTTCCTTCCATCCAGATTGTGGCTGCCATCCTGGCCATTGCCGGCATTGTGATGATGACCTACGCTGATGGATTCCACAGCCACTCTGTCATTGGCATAGCCCTGGTGGTGGGCTCTGCATCCATGTCGGCCCTCTACAAGGTAGGTGTGGATGAGCTTCCAGCTGGCCTGACTCCTCCTAGCAGGCTGGTTTCCTGTGCTGCCTCCACTCTGGGGCACCCTGGGTGGCACTGGTACTGCTGAAAGGCTTTTATTTTTGGTGCACCCCAGGCGGACAGCTACTGTTGGCTTTGGCCCTCTGGGCCTTTCTATCAGTGGTACATGTTTGCAGCATTTGGGATGAAATGATTGGCACTGGCTGGATCTGCAGATTTGCAGCTTCATTGTCACAGGTCCAGATAAGGGTGGGGCCCTCTAGCCTGGCTCATGTTCACTCAGATAAGTTCCATGCTGGCTGGACGTGCAGACCTGGAGCAGCTTTATCACATGAATCTTAACCACACCACGATTGTTCGGCACAAGTTACCAGGTGTTTTAGTCATCATCTGTGGGCTCAACAAACACAAGCTCAGCGCTATGGTGGGACTAAGATTCTCCACACAATGGTAGGAACCCCTAGAAAGCCCTTCCCCGCTGTAGGTCTAGAGGCAACAATCTTATTCCCACACCAGCGTCCCTCGCCATGTCCACCCCAATTCCTTCAAGCCTCCAGGCTGCTCTTTGCTCATCCTCCTCTCTCCCTCTGCCTCCTCCTCAGACATGTAGTAAAGAATGCAAACCTCTTCAGGCCTCCCAGCTGGGAGCCTGGCCTGAAGGACTCAGTGAGAAGCGAGATCTCAGAGAATGGAGTAGTGTAGAAAGTCACCAGGAAAAATGGTCCCTGTGCTGAGTGCCAGGCCTTGTGGTTTGTGGAAAGCGAAGTGATTTTATATATGCTAATCCATCAGCTCTCTGCCCTTGCTGCCCACAGAGGCACACTTCACTGTAACAGGTGTGACAGCGCAGCATCATTCTGAGACTTCACCACCACTGTCCCAATGCAGAAAACATTAGAAGGCCACGCTTGTGCCCTGGCCAATGAGCTGCATGCTCATGAGGAGCAGATGTGCAGAAAGGCCACCTGCAGGGAGGCCTCCATCTTCTCTATCTCCCCCACTGCCTGGAGTTCAGCTAGGGGGCACAGAGGAGGCTGGGAGCTGCTCCTTCCCCTTCCTGTACTTCCTGCACGTGTGGCTGTGGACGGCTGGTAAGGAGAAACAGCAGGTCCAGGCACAGCAATGCAAGGCAGGGACTCAAATTGGACCTGCAGCACCAAGCAAGGTGGATGGAGTCTGGCCATCCAGCCACCTCTGTGCCTCTTATCCCAGCTTCTGTGCCTGGGATGCTGAACAAGCAGGGCAGGAAGTAAGAGTTCGTTGACTCCATTAAACCCATGCCACTCTGTCACAGCGGTGGTGATCAGGGCACAGATGAGCAGAATCTCTCCACTTCTACTTAAGAGAAAATTTCCTTAGAGCCAAAGCTCTTCTGAGAGGTGGGGGCAGTGGTTGTTAATCCCTGCTGCCCAGGGGCAGGGATCAGTTTTAGGGCCTCTGAGAGGTTGGGCAGGGCAGCTCCACTTGATGTGGTGTCATGAGTATTCAAACCTAGTGTGAAGACTTGGGAACCCCAAAGATGCTCGCGGTGGACCCAGGCTGTCCATCTCTGCGCCACTGAGATGGGAGTGCACAGGCCCGTCGCCCCTCACCGACCTCCCAGGGGCGTAGAGTTGTCCTAAGACATGGGCAGCCTAGTCTCCAGGTGCACCGCTCCACTCACAGAGGCCTGAGGTCTCAGGGGGCCCTCACCTGCCTTTCTCTCCTGCAGGTTCTGTTCAAGCTTCTGCTGGGCAGTGCCAAGTTCGGGGAAGCCGCCTTGTTCCTGTCCATTCTGGGTGTGTTTAACATCATCTTTATCACCTGCATCCCCGTCCTGCTCTACTTCACCAAGGTGGAATACTGGAGCTCCTTTGACGACATTCCATGGGGAAACCTTTGTGGATTTTCAGTCCTCTTATTGAGTAAGTGGCCACCACCCTGTCCAGAACCCCCAGAAAACCATGAAGGACAGACAGGACTCCATGGAAGCCTGCATCCTAAATCAAGAACACGGTGCTCTTTGCTACCCCAGTGTCCTGGCTGCTTTTCCAGATCTTTACATTTCATAAAGTGCATCTTTCCAGAACCACAGACACTGTGAGAGCAACAGTGCCCACTGGCACTCTGAGCAGTAAGCCCAGGGCCTTGCCCGTGACCTGTGAGTAGTAAGTGGTAAGGGTTGGTGAGGCAGTGCCAGTGGAGCTCCTAGGGCACTGCTTAGGTATCGGTGCTCAGTGAATAAGACCAGTTGGCATTATTGCTGATGTCATCTTCCTAATCACTGTCACTCAATGGGTGGTGACATCAAGGCAGGCAAAACCCCATCCCAGAGCCCTGGCCCATACAGCCATCCCAGAAGTACTGCCAGCAAGCCAGGAAAGCAAAGCCAGTTAGAGGGCCTGTCCCCTTTTCCAGCCTCCTCACTGGTCACCTTTCTGAATTCCGTTTCCCTTCCCCAGAGATCAGGGAAGAGGGGGCTAAGTGGTCAGGATGCTTGTAACTCATCCCAAGTTCACTGAGTCCCAGAAAAGGGTCATCAGAGAAACTGGGGTCAGGCAGGCAGTGGGAAGGCCCACTGCAGGGCTTCAAGTATAATTGTGAGTAACTCCCGCTTTCCAAATTATTTCAGCATTCAATATTGTATTAAATTTTGGAATCGCCGTGACGTATCCCACTCTGATGTCTCTTGGAATTGTCCTCAGTGTACCTGTGAATGCAGGTAAAACTATATGCATGATTTTCTACACTTGCTTGTCACGATCACATATTCACAGTTGGACTCAGGGATTTACACATATATTCTCATACATATTCTCTCTGGGCCTGGTCTAGGACACATGTTCAAACTTCTGCAAAGAAAGAAAAGCACTTAAGTAAAATGTTGGTGCTTGTTGTGTCTGCAATGCTGTCTCCATGATGTTCACGTGCCACACCAAGATATAGAACCCCTAGAGCTGTCTCCATTCTAACTGGTGTGGGAGCAAAGATGAATATCATCAGTCTATTCATAGACAGAAAATTATGTAGCAGAAAAATTTAATTTTTGCAAGTGACTTTCTGGAGGAGAAAATTTATTCAGGGTATGACATAGAAAACTGTTGTCCAGCTGAAGAGGCGTGAACCTTGTTGTCCTCCACCTCCTGGAAGAGAGAGAGTCCTCTGTCTGTCACCTCGACTTGCATAGCCCTGGGGCTGTGGCCTTCACACAGTGGTCACCCATCCAAAGGCCTGCATTCTCCTGCCCTCACCTCCTTCCTTTGCCTGACTCAGGCTGGTTTGGATTTGGGGGTTTCTTCCCAGGATCTCCTGGCCTCGCATCAGACCTCCCTCTGCACCTGCTCCCAGAGAAGTCCTGATTCCTACCTCTCCAGAATACTCACTCTCTCAGCCTTGACACAGCTTACTCTAAAGTATCTCCCAAACCCTCTGTGTCCAGGGGGCCAGGATTCCTGGGAACCAAGCCTGTACCAGTGCAGGCCAATCAGCTCTCACTTCCTGGGCCTGTCCCTGTGACTCAGTCCTCACCACCCTGACCCATGAGCTCTGTACATGCCTCACCAAGGCCCCAGCACTTTCCAGAGAGCCACTTGGCAGCAGTGTCATGTGGCCTGCAGGAGGTAGCAGAACACTGGGCTCAGCCCTGCGCCACCATAGCCCCTCTGGGGTTCAGTGGTCCCCACTCATCTGGGCCTTAGCTCATTGTTTCCCCTACAAACAAAGGCTATGCTTGCCCCGGCTCTTTCAGTCCATACAGGGGTCAGATGGAATAATCCATGAGACAGTACTTGAAGATGCAGCAGCACCTGGGCTCTTGGCAGAGAAGCAATTCAGCAGCACCGGCTTCTGAAGGGTACTTTGTCAACAGCCCCCTCCATTCTTTGCATCTTTAATTTATAGGCATATGAGGTTCTTATGGCAAAAGGCATGTTCTAGGTGCATCTTACCTAAAACTTATTCTGGTCCCACAGCAGGTGTTCGCAAGATTAGTGAGAATCATTTCATATTACTAACTGCAACATGAGAAGTTTAATAAGGGGTCAGCAGAGGAATCCAATTCCTTATTGGAGGAGAGAAGCACAAGAACCTGCTGATTAGGAGCTTCTCAGAGAAGAGCCATCAGCTGCCTTTTGGACCCCCCAGAGGTCTGCCCTTGAGACTGGCAGGGAGAACTGCCCCACCTCCTGTGAATCAGCAGAACCCTTTTCTGGCATCAAAATATTTCTGAATTATGATGGGATAAAAGTGTCATCTTATTACATAAAAGGGCACTAGAATTTTTTTTCAGGTTTAGCTTTCATTCCTCTTACTCTTTCTCTAACCACCTGCTAGATGTAGTGGAGTCAGGGAGGGAGAAGAAGGAGGGGGATCAAGGAGTGGAGCAAGTGAGGGGTGACAGCAGAGGAACGAGCCCCCAGTGCCAGGGGTGGACAGTTGTCCAGGGAGTCACTTTATACAAACTTTAGTTGTGAAGTGTGCACATCTCTATCCTGGGTGGGTCAGGCAGCACGCCCTGGGGAAGGCAAACTCCAAATGTGCCCAGTCTAGGAAAAGGACAGAGAAGCCCAAAACAGCACAGGGTGGTTGAGCACCATCAGGCTGGGAAGGGGAGGACAGTCAGAGCTTCAGGAGCTGATGTGAACCCACTTCTCGCTTTGTCCTCTCACTGGATGTGTGTCAGGATGAGCCCTGTGCTTGGACAGCAAGGACACCACAGGCACAAGGACCTTGCACCAAGTGATGCCCACTGCATAACAGGAGTTTGCATCTATCATCTTGGTCTTCAAAACCTATGTGTGTGTGCATGTGTGTTCATGTGTGTAGATACACATGTACATACACATGCACAGATTGTAAATTAATGTTTTTAAAATATAAAAATAAAGCATGTCATTATAGACATTGTAAAAAGACCAAAAATAAGTCACACCCAGACTTAGTCACAACAAAGCTTTGCTGTATTTCCATCTAAATATACATATGTCTCCAACTTCCCTTGATTGATTGATTGATTAATTGATTTGGGTGGGGGGTGTACCAGGGATTGAACTCAGGGGCACTCCACCACTGAGCCACACCCCCAGCCCTATTTTGTATTTTATTTAGAGACAGGGTCTCACTGAACTGCTTAAGGCCTTGATGTTGCTGAGGCTAGCTTTGAACTTGCAATCCTATTTCAGTCTCCGGAGCTAATGGGATTATAGGCGTGCACCACTGCACTTGGCCTTATTTATTTTTTAAACACACAAAAATCAATGTTTTAACTCAGATGCCAAGTCAGTCTTGGATGTGAAGTATAGTGCAAGGCTCAGGACACAGTTTGGGAAAGTTCAAGTGATGTACTAGAGGCCACCCCAGCCTCCTGGAGCGAATCCTGCCAAGAGCAGTCTATGGTCCAGGAGGATACTCCTGCTGCCGAGTAACCAGTGCTCTGTCTCCAACAGTGGTTGATCATTACACCAGTCAGATCGTCTTCAACGGGGTCCGGGTCATCGCCATTATCATCATCGGCCTGGGTTTCCTCCTGCTGCTCCTGCCGGAGGAGTGGGACGTCTGGTTGATCAAGCTGCTCACCCACCTCAAAGTGAGGAAGAAGGAGGAGACAGTGGAGGGCGGGGCTGACCTGGGCTCAGGACCCCAGAACAGGAGCAGGAGAGCTCGCCCTTCCTTTGCGCGCTAGGGCCTCTCCTCTGGGACTCTGGGGCTGCCCCCACAGTGATGATTTGGAAGCCTGTCCCTGACAGGAGGAGCCTCTGTTTGGTAAGGTGTACATACCTGTACAGTTTTGGTAACTGCAGTAAGTCCTAAGGTATTTATTGGCATGTCCAATTTGCTTGCACTTTTCCACATCAGACCTTCACTCAAGGGCACCGATTCAATAAGGAAGAGAAGGAACCTCAGCGCTTTCCCAATGAATGTAAAGCGGGTCACCAAGAGCCTTGTATTGATTGTTTCTGACGACAGGTGTGCTTAACAAGCCAGGGCAAATGTTTCGAATCTTAGCAACTGAAAATGACATTGTACACTGTGATTATTTTTCAGCTACAGTAGGTTATATTTTGTTTTATACCAGAGCTGTACTCTTAATTTTAAGGAATTTCAATGAACCAAAAGACAACTGTCAGTTAATCCGGATAGATGAGTGGATGGGTAGCTGGGTGGACAGATGAATAGAAGGGTGAATGGATACAGAGTTGGTTACATGGATGGGTGAATAGGTGGATGGGTGAGTGGATGGGTGGCAGGAAGGGTAGATAGGACAATGGCATTGGAAGAAGTGAAGCAGAAAAGGATAATGGACATGACAACCATCAGAGGCCTGCACCAGGTCACGAAGGGGAAAGGGAAGCCCAGCCTTTGCTGGCCTGCTCTCTCGTGTCTTCATAGATCATACAGGAGGATTTACAGTGCCTTCTACAGAATTTTTGTCTTTACCTATGTGACCCAAGGTGACATTCTAAGTCACTGGCGCCGTCTTATAATTTAGATGTAAAATCTTTAGAAAAAAAAAAAACTATCTGTGTGTGTGTACAAAAAATGACAAAGCTGGTGACCAATGTCCGCGGAGCCTGGTTAGAGGGGCACAACTCGCCTGTTAAGGTAGACCATGTGGAAAGAGAGCCGCGGGTGGCTTTTACTTCCAGACCAGACTGAAAACTTATTTACCGAATCTGCAAACCTTTTTATGAAATTTTAAGCACCAGGCTGTTTACTTACACAACTTAGGTCTGCCAGACAATTCTATCTGTGATAGATTTGTAAAGAGGGATGGGGTTAGAGTTTACTATTTTTGAAGTTTACATTGTTATCTATGAAATGGAAGCATTATTTTGAAACGTTGTCATAACCCAATGGTGCATTCTGTAACCATGGAGTCTTTTGTTTCCTGGGGGAAGGGGCATTCATGATCTGAACTTTTTAGCAAATTATTATTCTCAGTTTCCATTACCCGTTTGGCCAAACAGATTAATAAAATATTTGAAAAAGAAGTGCTAAGTATGGTCTTAGTGCCCACATTGTCACTTGCCACTATAAAGGTCCCACGTAGGCCTGGAGCTCGGGCTTTCCCACACCTGTCCCTTGCCTTCCGGCACCAGCAAAGCAGGTGGGCTGCCTGGGAGAAGGGGAATCTTCCTGTGAAGATAGAACTGGTAATGGTGAAAATGACATGCAGAACTGTCCCAGCCTCAGAAGCCCTCATCCTGAGGCAGCCTGCCCCTCTCCCTCCCTCCTGCTTCCTCTCCCCCAGGCTCTGTCTGCTCAGCTCTGCTGCCTGCCCCCAGTCCTTCTGTTCCTTTGCAGGTGGTTACCCCACTGAGCTCACGCTGGGTTCTCCTTGTGCCCCCAGGTAGCATCCTGGTCCCTAAGTTCACACAGTCTTCCCTCTAGACTCCTACCTGCTCACCTGCCTCATGTCCTGACCTAATTCTGGCTTCACAGGGAAGGTGATTTGCCCACGTCTGTAACGAATGTTCCACACTGTTCCAGGTGACTGTGGCCCAGGCTGTGAGATCCAGTACATCTCGTGGAGGGCTGTAGAGGGTCAGGTTCCCAAGATGGGTGTCAAGGGGGGAGCCCTGAAGTGTACCTCAGCTGTCACCCCTCCTGGAGCTTCTGCATGATGGATGGGTACCAGTGGCAATGTGGGCTCTGAAACTGGGGCAGCTGGCTGCCCAGAGGGCCCCCACCCAGTGTGTCCAGGTGCATGAAGGCAGAGGCCGGACAGAATCCTGGTTCAGACACCTCCATCACCACCATTTAACCCAGCCAGACGAACATTCCCTCTGAGGCCATATCATGAAAGGCTGGGAAGCCCTTTCCTAAAGTTACCTTCTTCTCCTAACCAGCATAAAGGCCTCTGAAGATCCAAGAGTACTGATGCTAGGACTCCACAAGGTACCTGCACCCTGTGTTCACAGCAACATCACTCACAATCGTCAAAGGGCGGAAGCAGCCAGAAGGATAGATAGACAGATGTGTGTGCATACAATGGAACACTATTCAGCCTTCAAAGCAGGGAAGTTCTGACACATGCTCTGGCATGGTTGGGCCTCGAAGTCATTACGCCAGGTGAAAATGAGCCAGGCAAAACGGAAAGTGCTTGCGACTCTGCTCAAGAGGGACCTAGAGTCCCAAATTCATAGAGATGTTGCCAGGGGCTGGATGAGGGAGGTAGAGGAGTCAGTGTTTAAGGGGGACAGAGTTGTATTGATAAGAGAAAGTTCTGGAGATGATGGTGGTAACAGTCACATATGACATCAATTGCTTAGACCTGCTTGCTTAAAAAGGCTCACTATGTGTATGTTAGGCCAGAATGAATAAGACTAGAAAGGATGTGGTTATGAAATAAAAGGTGAAAATTCTGTGCCCTTTAGGACATTAGAAACCTGAGTTGGGCATGGCATGGATTGAGAGATTATTTTGCAGAAAGTATATGACCATACCCCCACCCACCCCCATACCCCAGAGACAGACAGCACTAGCCCTTGAGCACTGAGGGGTGCTGCAGCAAACCTCGAATGGACCCCTAAACACAAAGTCCAGAAAAGGAGTTCCGGCAGGAGGTTCTGGGTCCACAGGGTGCTCCTGCCTGGCCCAGGAACATCTGCCCTCTGGATTCCTGTCTGGGCGGCAATCAGCGCCCTTTCCCTGTGATCCAGAGAAGAGCCTGTGTGCAGCTGATGGAGGCAGGAAGCTCTCAGCAGCCCCCAGCTCTCCCCTTTCTTTCAGAACCTGAAGCTATTATGTGACTTCAGACTGCCCTGCCACTGAGCCAGAGCTGTCTAAGAACGCGAGCTGCACGGCCCCTGAGCTCCTGCAACCTGGCCAGCTGGCCGTGGCCCTGAGGCACCATCCTGGACCCTGGGAGCGTCACAGGAAGCCTGCTGGACTGTTCTGAGGGCCCTGCCTGGCATCCTCCTTCCACAGAGGTCAGCAGGGACATTCCTGTTCCAAACAGGTCCAGAGACTCACCAAGTCCCAGAGAGCCCTGCAGCAATCCCCTTTTGTTAAAGACAGCGAGACGCCATTTCTATGCTTCTAAGAAAAAGACTTTTACTTTTCTTTACAGTGTTTACAATATTTTAAATAAATTTTTAAATAATATCATTATATAATTTTTTAAATCAACATTGCAAAATTCTTGAAAAATCCTTTTTGTGAGTTAAAATAGTGGTAAATTTCAGCTCAGGTAAGTTGGCTTCATATTATGGAGATCTTTGGAGTTACTAGAATCCCAGGACTTCAGATTTTATGTAACTACAGCTTAATGGACTGAGAGTTCTAATTGAGAGAAGCCTTTGTCCCTGGTTCTCTTATTTTAAAATAATTCCTCCTTCCTGAAGATACTAGAGATACCTGTAGTTACTGTGGTGGCACTAGTGGCAGCGGGGGCAGGCACAACAGGTGCATGGGGACACTACATTGAAGAGGACTGGAGAGTTCTTAGGCACGCTCTCTGGAGGTATTAGGAAGGCGGACAGGTTTGCCTTCATACCTGCTGCTAGGTTCGGGGTCTGGCATGTCTCCAAGGCCCAGGTATTGGGGATTCAGACCCCAGCCAGGAGCTGTTGAGAGGTAGTGGAACGTTTAAAAGGTGGGTCCTCATGGGAGGCCTGCAGGCCACAGAGTGTTCCCTGAGGGAATTGTAGGGCCCCAGCCCCCTTCTCCTTTCTTTTGCATCAGCCATGAGGTGAATGTGCTTTCTCTGCCATATACTCCTGTCATGACATGCCTCCCAGGCCCAAAAGCATCAGGGCCAACCATTCATGAACTGAAACCTCCAAAACTATGAGCCCAAATAAACCTTTTTTCCTCATAATTTGGTTATCTTAGGTGTTTGTTGCAGTAACAGAAAGCTTAACAGCACCTGCCTAGCTTTTCGCCAGCTGCTCTACTCCACTGTAAAGCACACAAGAGAAGAGGTTCTTGCAAAGGGCCAGCCTGGAGGGACTTACTCCAAAAGGAGCCCGCAGGATGCCCCATGTTCATTCCTCACTGATCACTGGAGCCTTTCACCTTGGTAGGCATCTGTATCATGCTAATAGACTCCATGGGGAGTCTCAGAGGCTGAGGTGGGGCCCAGCAATGTACACGGATCAGAAGCCCACACATGAGTGCCAAATGACCCTATACACTCAGACAGCTCCTCCCTAAGAAGGGTCCCAGACTGCTTCCCTGTGGCTCTGGTCTGCAATGTGCAGCTTCCAGGAGGTGTGAGCCTGAAAAGGTGGCCTGGAGGAGGCTCGCCTGTGCTGCTTGGCTTGCCAGGGCAGTCAGTGTGATGATCCTTGCCCCATCCTATCTCTGCACAGGGGCTATTTGGGCATCAAGAGAAACCCCCACTGGTGCACTGCTTTGCTGTTCTCTTCCAGACTACACTGCCTAGAGGGGTTTAGAGGTTGAATTTCCCCCTCTGACCACTCTCTTTTGGCACCTTCATTTACGAGCCCTGTTACTAGATTACACTAACTGGGTGGAATTATTCACCCAGTGTCCCCAGTCTCCCTCTTTATCTGATTTCATCCTCACAGTGAGAAAGCTGAATTTCTGGCATACCTCATGGGGATGCCGGGAGTCAGGCACTTTTCCAGGATTTAGAGGCATCCCTGTTGAATGGTATCACTCCATGTGTGGAATTTCCTCTGTGTGTGTGTGTGTGTGTGTGTGTGTGTGTGTGGGAGAGAGAGAGAGAGAGAGAGAGAGAGAGTGAGAGAGAGAGAGAGAGAGAGACTGTGGGCTTCCAATTAGCACATCTTTCCAATTAGCTATTGCTACTTGTTCAAATTAAGTTATTCATGTAAGCAAGTCACTGTGTAATAATTGATATCTTTCATTTAATGATACTATTTAGAGCTAGATATGCAGTTATTGAGGTACAACCTGGTGACTTCATTCAGTCCCTATTGCAAGTAGTGACCACCTAGAGTGATCCTACTATTTTTCTCCAAAGCTTAACTTTAAACATTCAAATCTTTCCATCAGTACCACTTTAAAGTGCAAAGTACATTTGGATATTTAACTAACGCCAGATCTGGCTTACCTGAGAGTATTATTGCTTCAAAACTTTGACAGATTACTTTTACCTAGATTTCCTTTGAATTTTCTGATAGTATTGAGTTTTTAATGTAGCATCATTATTGGCGTTCAACCCCTGGTGCTAATCGCACACTATTTTATTACCAGGTATTCCCAGGCATTAAATCTCATGCCCTCTCCCTTCTCCTCACTTCTGCACCAGCAGTCACAGTGCCATCTACACATGTCCAAATCAGTTGTGTCACTGACATGTCTCTAGGGTCTCCCTGTGCCCGTCCTACACTACCACCTGCCCATTCCCATGCCTACCTCCCAGGCTGCTGTGGGCCCCCTGGACCATCCTGGGATCGCAGTGCTGGGATGGCTATGCTGCCAACCCATGCCAAGGGCGTCAGTATCTTCCCAGCTTCATTAAAGAAGCTCCTTCCCTGGCCTGGACCCCAGGACCTCACAATCCAACTCACTGCTACGACAATCCCACCATCTCCTCCCCTTCGACCACTTCCTACCATTTCTCAATGTGACCTGTGCTCTCTTGACTTGTTATTGCAGTGGATTCTGCACGGGTCGCTCTCCACAGCCATCTCTTTAGATGGACATGACTGTCTACCTCAGGTGCTTTCTCCTTCCTGGAGCCTGCGCATTCCCCCTGGAGGATTAAGATGCCTACCTGTGATGGCCACCACTGCAGTCACTCCCTCTCCTGCCTTACACCAAGGTCAAGACTTATAGATATGAATGCCCTTGAGAGAGAAAAAAACATTCAGTCTTGCCTTGTGCTCTGTCCCCCTCAGCGGTAGCAGAGCCCCACTCACAGTAGGACATGCACATTCATGGACTTACCTCTCATTGCTGACTTGTAATAATTGAACATGATTTATTGCAGACTTGTGCCACTGTCAACTCTCCCCCAAAGTGCAAGATGAATGTCTCAGGCATGGAAATGTCCTAG